CAAAACTTAAGAGTCTCAGGGGGGCTTCTTCTCTATGTCCTTAGTTATAGGACTTCTGTTCAGCTAGACTTCAGGCAACACTCAATAATTGTGGTTCTGTAGTTCAGCTGTACTTTCGATGTAATTGTGAGATGTGACAAGCACAGCATTTACCTACTTTGCCATCTTGACTGGAAAGATATACCGATTCTTTTAAATCTCTTTCAGAACATACAGAGGGACTACTTTCTAACTCATTCGAATGCCAGCATTACCTGAATATCAAAACAAGAAAAAGACATTACGAGAAAAGAAAACTACTGACTAATATGTCTTATTTACATAGATTTAAAAATCAAAATCAAAATATTAGAAAATTGAATCCAAAAATGTATAAAAAGAATTATATATCATAACCAAGTGAGATTTATCCAAGATATGCAAGGCTGGTTCAATATTCAAAATCCACAAGTAACAATACTATTAGTGAAAACAAAATCTTTAAAGGATGAAAACAATATCTACATACTCAACAACATAACATCCATAACTTCTGGCATCCAATAAAAAATTACTAGGTGCAATACAAAAAACAGTGCTCTAGACTCAGAGGGAAAAAATCGGTCAATAGAAACATACTCCAAAATGACAGTGATGATGAAATTAGCAAACAAAGATTTAAAACAGACTTCATATACATGTACAAAGATTTAAACATGAGAGAAAGGTATAAAATATAAAAAGGAACTAAGTGGAATTGCTATAGGTTAAAAATATATGAAATAGGAATCAGTGATGGCCTTAACAGCAGTTTAGAACTGCAGGAAAAAAAATCACTGAACTTGAAGAGACAATAGAAAGTATCCAAACCAAAGCACAAAAAGAAAGAAGGCTAAAAAACAAAACCAAACAATAAAAAATCAAAAAAGAATACAGCTTCAGTGACATGTGGAAAACACCAAAAGGTTTAGTATACATGTAATGAGAGTCCTAGAAAAAGTGATGCAAGGGGGGATAAAAAGTAAAATATCTCAAGAAAAATGGCTGAAATGTTTCTAAATATGATAAAAATTAAAGATCTCCAGATACAAAAAGTTTAACAGACACTAAGCAGAATAAATACAAAGGAAACCAAAACAAAGCAAAACACAATCAAATTGTTGGAAAGTAGTGATAAAGACAAAAATCTTAATATCAACCACAGAAGAAGACAAATTACATAAAAGTAAACAGACACTTTAATAATAACTGATACATCATCAAAAACAATGCAAGCCAAAAGATAATAGAATGACATCTTTAAAGTGCTGAATGAAAAAGAAAAGAAAAAAACAAAACTCTGAACCCAGAATCCTATATCTAATGAAAAATATTTCAAATATAAAGTTAAAGTACTTTTTCATGCAATGAAAGCTAAAATAACGATGGCAGAAGATTTATAGTACAAGAAATGTTAAAAGAAGTTCTTTAGGTAGAGGAAAACAATACCTTTTAGAAACTCAGATCTACAGAAATAAGAGTACCAGAAATGGTAAATATAGAGATAAATATAAAAGACTTTCTTCTCCTTTTTAATTTCTATAAACTATAATTGACTAAAATAAAAATAAAATAATAAATTGTGGGGTTTATAACAGTAGAAATAAAATGCATGATAACACTAGCACAAAAGATAGAAGGGAATAAATCAAAACGTACCATGGTAAGATTCATACATTAGATGTAAATTGGTATACTATTATTAAAAGGTAAACTGATGAGTTAAAGATACATATCGTAAACCCTGGAGCAACTATTAACACAGATAAATAGACAGAGAAAGAAAGAGGTATATCTCATAATCCATTATAAAAGATAAAATGTAATACTGAAAAATACTGAGTTAATCCAAAAGAGGGCCAAAATAGAGGGGAAAAGAACCAAGTTTAGAGAGGACATGCAGAAAGCAAATAGTGTAGACATGCAATTCCAAGTATCAGAATATGGAGTCCACGAATTGATGCATACATTTGATTAAATGGTCATTTGATTTCTGACAAAGGCATCGAAGTAATTCAACTAGTAAAGGATAATGATTTCTAAAAATGGTGCTGGAAAAATTATACATTTGTATGAAAAAATATAAATTTCAAATATAAAGGAAAAGTACTTTTTTATGTAATCAAAAGCTAAAATAACACTTACCTTATTCATAGTATACAAAAAAAAAAAAATCAACTTGGAATTAATCATGGAACTAAACACAAAAACTAAAACTATAAAATTTCCAAAAGAAAACGAAGGAGAAATATTGGCACTCTTTAGATAAGCAAATAGTTCTTAGGACACAAAAAGACACTACTATAAAAAAATGAATAAGTTGGACTCATTGAAATTACAAACCTCTCCTTATCAAAAACCTTGTTAAGAAAATATAAAAGTAAGATACAGACTGGGAGAAAAATTTTATCAATACACATATCTACATGTAATTTGTATCAAGAATATATAAAGAACTCCACAACTCAGTAAGACAAATAATCCAATTAAAAAATAAAGAAAAGTTTTGAATAGGTATTTTACAAAATAATTTTTTCAAATAACCATTAACAATGATGCTGGAAAAATCATACATTTGCATAAAAATGTGTTTCAGGAAAGTATAATTATCAGGGAAATGTAAATTAAAACCAGAATAAAATAATAGTACATACCCCTTAGAATAACTAAAATCAAGAAGAGAATTCCAAGCGTTCATGAGGGCCTGCAACAACTAAAACTCTCATACACTACTGGTGGGAATGTAAAAACACATGATTACTTTGAAAACCAGTTTCGTAGTTTCTTATAAAGTTAATTCATGAGATGTGTTAAAAACATTTATCTCTTTTAATAGAAAAAGAATGTCAAGGAATAGAGTGACTGAAGAATAATCAAAAGAATTTATGCTTTGATATTCGATTGCCCGGCTAAAGACTGCTTGACCTACTTTGAGGATATAGACCTTCAATGATTGATTGCTACGAAAACTATTTCTTAAAGAATGTATTGGTCTTTGAAATGCCCACAGGAGGGAAGGGAATTAAGAAGTGCAAATTGGTAGTTACCAAATAGTCATGGGGATCTAAAGTACAGCATAGGGGATCTAAAGTACAGCATAGGGAATTCAGTCAATAACACTGAAATTACTATGTACGGTGTCAGATGGGTACTAGACTTATTGGGGGTGATCACTTTGTAAGTTATGTAAATATCTAATTGTACAACTATATTGTACAGTTGAAACTAATATAATATTGTATGTCAACTGTAATTGAAAAGTAAAAAATTATTTAAAAAAAAGGAAAAAGAAATGCCCACATGAGGTCCCCATCTTAATTATTTTTTGTATTTCTCTTTTATAAATGGATTTCATTCTAATTTTTCCTGCTAGCTTATGTTCATTCAAAGGATGTATGAAATCAGATTATATATTTCATTATTAAATTCATATGTTCATAAAGGAAACGTTTTAAAATATTTAGTCTAATAGAAAAAATAAAGAGAAATAATACAGAAGGTCTGGTTTCTAGTTCTGATTCTGCAACTCATCAATGGACAATCTTAGGCAATTCTCTTAACATCTCTGACCCTGGTATACTCAGCAATAGGACTAATTGGGAGCAAGTAGCAGTTTTGCTCTCTCATGCCAATTCCTGAAGTCCACTGATAGGAACTGGGTCATTTTTAGTACACTTTTGTGCTGAGTATCAAAATGGTTCAAGAACTTAAGAGTTGAAGGATAAATAATGGTTGAAGCATGTGAGTCACCAACACTTTATAATCTTTCAAGAGAATTCAGCTTTAATTCACCAGAAACAACTAAAAACAGCAGTAGGTGAAGTTTTTCTTTCGGTTCGGTAAAATCTACATCAGAAGTAATTCAGTCTCATTTTCTAGATAACTGCCTCTCTTTTGGTTAAGAGAAGCAGTGAGTGAATGCATGAAAATTAAAAGACAAAACTTTAAAAGGAGCTAATTATTATAGAAGCTTCAAGCAATAGATCCAGATTTTTGAAATCATTACATAAAGTTATCTATTGCTATTTTGCAGAGATAATGACCAAGAGAAAATGTAATATAATAACTTTAAAATAGCTAAAAAGATACTCAGGTAATGTCTAGCGAATAGTCAAAAGAATGAAAACATAATTATGAGCCAATTAGATTTTTTTATATGGATCCTAGGAAATATTTTATGAAAATGTCAATTTCAAAACAGTGTATAAGAAAAGTTATAAGTTGAAGCTAAATGTAAGTGATATAAATGGTTAATAGATTAACAAGACAACCTCTAAGTTTTCATCCTTTGTTTTTCCAAATATTGAGTATGGAGATTTAAAGGCAGAATATTAAGGATAAAACAATGTGAGAATCTTTACACCTGGCCCTGAAGGTGGGCCACCTCATAAACATTTCTTATTCAGATATGTAATCTGCTCTGTCTTTAACATTTGTTCTAGCTGCAAGCCAAAAATACAAAACAAATGAGATAACATATTGTCCTCAAAGGAATGATAGGATACCTTGTAGAGAGAGGGACCATGGGCATCATAATAAATGCCTTTTATGTTTGAAGAAAATGGACCAGTAATTTTGTCCATCAGTTCATTGAGTATATGCACCCAAGAATCAAAAAATATTTTTTCATTTCTTATTAATATCTAATATGCTCAATAGCAAAATATAATCTCTGGTAAATATTAAATGAAATTTTAATGATAGAACACTTCCTTAATAATAATAATAGAAGAAAATCTGCACTACACAATTTTCCTTTTCAATCTCCCCCTTAGGTTGTCTTAAGAATACTAAATTTTTATAGGAACTAATAGCTAATGATTCTCAAAAGAAGCCTTTATACTGAAAAAAAAAAAAGTGTAGGATAAACTTTTACAAATAATAAACTCAGCAAAATTTATACCAATACTTTTTAAAGACCTTTAAAAATACATGTAGGCATCTTTAAAATGCTTCCTTTACAAATAGTAAACTTCTCATACCTGGAATGTTACATAAAAAGTCCCATAATTGTTCTTCTTCCATGTAGCTCACAAAAACATTTCCAAATGTTTGTGGAGAAAAAGTACAATAGTATAATACTTTAAAGATGGCTTCCATCAAGCTGGATACTTGGTTCAGATTATTTTCTGTATCAGAACACTGTTCTTGAAAAGTGTGTTCTTAAAAAGAATAAAAATGATTTAGTAAGATAGGTATCAGTGAGTATGATTAAATTCTTATCACTTACACAAGCACTAACATAATGCTGTAAGAATATATTTGATTACTATTTACATAGTATTAAATTCTTATCACTTACCCTAGCATAATGCTGTAAAAAATGCATTTAATTAATATTTACAAAGTAAGAGAAATGCCACATCCTTTCAGATCAATGGCCCATCTAACCCAATATTGTTTCTCATATACTCGTGGATACATATAAAAGAAAAAATTGTGAGAAGGACCGCGTGACATCACTTCAAAAGGCAATGCTAGTTTCCCCTAATGTAAGAATTCTGTTTTCTCTTAAAGAAAAATTTTTTATTCCTTTTTTTATTTAAAAGTAATACACATTCATTCTGGAAATTATAAAAAAAATCTGACTAAGAAAACAAAATTGTACCAAATCCTACTAATAAGTGATATTTATATTTTATTCATATTATTTATAAGCACAGATAAATGAATATATGTATGTATAACTTGAATGCCAAATAGTATTATTCTATATATATTCATTTGTTATCTAAAATCTACTTAAGTCTAGTTGAATCTTTGCATCTCTCTTTGGGATTTGCGTTCTGTATTTTTTAAATGGATCATCGATTATGTTCTGAAGTTCAAAACATAAATTTCATAAAAATTCATTTATAGTGTTATTAAAATTATGCCACCAATTCTACAAATAAATTTATACATATTTTTCAAACCCATAGGCCCTATAATTTCAGAATTAAGAGGTTTATCATTTTTTCAATAAAACTTTCAGGAATTCCCTGAAAGATATAGCCATTTTAATTGCTCTTTTTGGCCCTCCTCTGGCTCCATTATGACTTCTTCAAAGATGAGTAATCAGGAGTTCCTACACTGTTGTATCTCTGGGTTGGACTGGAAAAGTGAAAGAATAATTTCTACTTTGTTTAGATTATTAGTATGATATGCCCAGTCTCATAAAATGTAAAAATACTTTTTGAACTAAAGATAAAAATTGACTCATACCTTATCTCTTATATTTTAAATATCTTGAACAAATGCAATCTGGATTCTTTTGAAATGAGCATATTTATTTTTCTTGCTCATTTAGAAGCTCATTACTTTGTTTCCTCTTGACAATTTTATTTTTTGTGATTTGATTTTCATGATCAAGAACTTAATGTTATCGGCAAACTAAGAACTAGCATCATAGACTTTATGTAGAGGAAATTTATTGTTTTTGCCTTCCTAATATCCATTCTCTCTTTTTTTAAACAAGTTAGTTTTCCTTCAGCAAGCTATCACTGCCTCTATCCCCTAACTTGCATGTGTGGACAACCCCTATCCCCCAACCTCCCCCACTTCCCACCGCAAACTCTGTTTACTTGGTTGGATAAAGCTGGCTCCATCGCCTGGGCTGGGCACATGACCAAGGCCTGGCCCATCAGAGCATGACACCCCCTGCACTATCAACAGTAATTAGCTCAGGGATACGCAGGTAACCAATGAGAATCTTCCTCAGAATTTTTGCCGGAATTATTGCCAAGTGCTGTTCAGGTAGGCTTGTATGGGCAAGGCCCAGAGGGAAGCTGGATCCCTGGCACAAGTTTTTAGATTCATCAAAAATTTCAAGCTGCACCTGCCTGCTGCTTGTTAAGTCAGTCCTTTCTCATCTCCTCCACATAGAGGTCTAGCCCTCTCCTTTTCCTTTCCCTCTGCTTCTGGACCAGACATTTGTGTATTTAATAAAAAGACTTCCGGATATGTCTTTATGGGATCGTCAGAGGTTAAAGGAATAAAAATTAGTGAGTTCTAGATCTACCTAAAGTTTCCGTTGTTCAGACAATCATTATCCTCACCTCCCTCAATCAATAATTTTACCCAAGAGGTATTATCCTATCAGATCGACATCTGGCCCAGGCCTGGACTCTCTTATTGTCCTCCCCTTAATATGAATCATGCTACTGTTTCTCCCCACTCCTCATTCTAAAGATGGAGGAGGGACTCTTCTCAATGGTGAGTTTGGAGGTGGTGGGTGGGGGAGAACTAGGCATGGTTGGCTAGGCTTAGAAGGCCCGCTTGACTGCTGTTCTGTCACTGCAAGGGACATCTAGGATGGCTGGAGGGATGGAGGGATGAGCTTAATTCTGGAAAGCAGTGTTGGTAAGCCACATATTTAAAGCCATATTCTCTGACGCAGGTTTTGTCAATAATAAAGCTGCTGTTTTGAATTCCATCTGCTTTCTCCTTTATCTATCAAATGGTTTGTACATTATATAAACAAATATAATATTTGGAAACAGATCGTCTTTTCGATAACATTGAAGAGCTCTTTTCACTGCAGTTATTATTTCAAATTTCTTTTGAGAACTGAACTTGTTAGTGCTTGAAAGGAAGGGTGGCCTTAGGTGAAGAACTTGACCACCTACCCACCGGGAGGCTGTGTTTACTGCCACCAAAGATTTAAACACGTGCGGCACACTAGCACTTTCCAAGACTGCTTAATTTTTACTTTCTACTAGAATGTTGTTAATGACAAGCTCCTGCTGAGTCACTAAAATGGATTTGGCAGCGATATTGTGGAAAAGAGTGCCATGAGCTTAGAGATGCTGAATTAAACAGGCACTAATGAGCATCCCTAACCAAAGGGAAGAGACAGAAAGACTCACTTTAGGCATAGGTATGAGATAGAAAGTGCAAGAATAGAAAGCGTAACATATAAAACAAGGACTCAAAACCTAGAACACAAGACCAATAAATTAATACCTGGGAAAAAGGGAGTGGAATATCACACAAAAATTGCTTTAGGGAAGCACTAAATGTGAATGTCACAGCCTAGTTCACTATGGAAATTAACAAAAATAAACCTGACTTGAAAATTAGTTTTAAAATCTTGCAGTTTGTTATATAAAAGGCTAACAATAGATATAAAGACCTGCCATTTATTTATAAGTTTTCAATTAAATACGACTTGATTATTACTTTCCTTTCCTTAAACTATTCTTACTTGGGCAAATTTTGAAATTTTAAAAAAGGAAGTTTCACATAATGAGTCTTAAACATTGAAGACTAAAAAAAAAATCATTCTATTCAGGGATGTTTTTTCCTGGGAGTTATTTTCTTGCTTTATGTTCTAAAATGCTTGTGTAGAAGCTGAAGTTCAGCACTTATAATGTATTCTATGTTGTTTTCCTCAGAACCCAAATAAACACTAAATATCAGATTTCTCTTTTGAATATTCACAGTCTCAAATTCAGGACTACGATTACAGTGAGATGTAAGACAGGTCTTTATTGAATATCCACCATAGTGCAAGCTAAGTTTTTTACGTACATTTTTATATTTATCTTGATCCTCATAAAAACTCTATGAGGTGGATGTGATCTCCATTTTTTAAAAATAAATGAAGAAATTAAGTCTTAAAGAGGCTGCCATAATATATAAAGTAGAAAAATAGTCTACGAATTATCAAGAAGATAACATCAATAGAGATTTAATTAATAGGAATTAACTGGGTGATTGATTCCAATTCCTTGAAAACTGATAATCTTCACATGTCATATAAAGAATTCTGTATGTTTAAAAAGTATTTTGTATTATTTACATATTTATAAATGCAGATAGGCAGACTTCTTTGAAACAATTTTGGCTGTATCTACTAGGGTTTTTTCCCATGCTTTTTATAAGGTAAGATTTTCAAAGTACATTTCATGGGACATTATGGGTAGCGCTTATGTTCTGGAAATGCTGGCTTCAACAACATTAAACACTTTTGTTTTCTGCAGGATTTCTCACAGCCTTTAATTATTCATGACCCCTGTGACTCTTCAAGAATGGATTTTTATCATATAGCATGCAGTTTTCCTATAGTACTTTTGACCACGAAACCCTTTCCTAGTATTGCATCTATCAAGATTACTATTCCATAAAATTAGATCTGGGATTCACAGCTCTAATGTTTGCAGATAGATTCTTATATTAACTTCAAGCCCTTTAGATTTGCAAATAAAAGTGAGCAATTCTATAGGATAAGAAAGCAAAACAGGAACATGAAAGGCTATTATGCACAAGGAGATTGTCAACTGGAAAAGAAATGATTGCTAATCAGATTGCAAAAGTTAGACTTAATAATTTTAATTCAACTGAATCATTTGTGGAGCAATAAGGGATTTTGCTTTAGCAGCAAGGCACTGGCAAGAATAACAAAGTGCAGCCAAAACAGGTCTTTAAAAACTTTGACTCCTAAGCCCACAGATTTCTACCAAATTTTGATTATCTGATTGAGAAACATAAGATAGGTACCTTACAGGAAGGTAAGTAAATGAACAAATGTTTGTTGAGTGAATGAATAAAAAGTCCTCTAGCATCTTTGACAATGGTCACTTAGCTTCTTTTTGAAAATTTTCAGTGGTGGGATAACAACTACTATTCAAGGTAGCCAGTTTTTCTGTCGAAGAGTTCAAGTAATCAAATTGTTTTGCATTTAAAAATATATATGAAACACTTATCAGAAAGGACTACAGAAATCTAGGTTAGACTCTCTAGTGGATAAAGAAAAGCATGGAGTTGAAAATGACTTCCTCAGTCGTCATTAGGGATAAGAAGTCAGGTTTTCTGACTGACAGAAAGCCAAAATCCATTTCCTTCTAACTCATTTCCAAGGATCTCTACTTGCTGAATTGGATGGCCTATTTTATTTTATTTTATTTTTTTACATGAAGACTTAAAATATTTGAAGATAGCTATCTTGCCTTTTCTACTCTTTTTTCCCCCCTCAAAGTTAGACATACCTAATTTATTTAAGCAAGGTATGGCCTGGTTTCTCCTTAAGATCTTTGTCACTTTTCTCTGTGTTGACTCTTAAGTGGGCAATATCCCTTTATATACACTGTGCCAAGAAAAGACAATGATTCTACAGACAATGTCTGATGACCACCAAGCATGGGTGGACTAATTAGTTCAAATTCTGTAGCTGGCAGCCCTA